CTAGGCTGGAGTGCAGCTGCACAATCTTGCCTCACTGCAACTTCCACCTCCTGGGTTCAAGCGATTCTTCTGTCTCAGCCTCCTAAGTAGCTGAGACTACAAGTGTGCACCACCACGCCTACCTAATTTTTGTACTTTTTGGAACAGACAGGGTTTCACCATGTTGGCCAGGCTGGTCTCGAACTCCTGACCTCAAGTGATCCACCCACTCAGCTTTCCAAAGTGCTGGGATTACAGGCGCAAACCACCGTACCCACCTGTTATTTTGGTTTTCTATTACACACTACTTAAAACAGAGACCTTCAGACTTTGCTACAACATTTCTATTACTTGTGTCTGTTATAATAAAAATGTTTTGTTCCAGTATTATTTACAAAATTTAAAAGGCAAAGATGTTTAAGGGTCAAGGGGTTGGGCCCTTGATTTTGGCAATAGTATCCACAAGTCATGAGGACAGGGGGTCTGAGGGAGACAAAGAGAAATTACAGGCCTGGCACACAAATCAACACCGTGGGTATGTCCTGACAATGAAAGGGACAGACTGGAATCCAACCAAGTTCACCAATTGCCAAAAAGATTTCTGGCCAAATGAGATTCAGGTGCCTCCTGAGATAAGCCTTAGGTGAAACATACAAAAAGTAACGGGGAAAGCACAGGCTATGCCGCCAGGCTGACGTCTCCAACCCAGGAAACACCCAGAAAGCCTGACAATGGGGAAGGAAAGCAGCAGGACTTCAGCCCCCTGCCCAGGTAGCGGGGACTCCCTGATTAAGGTGTCCCAATTAAGGGGACGCCAGAGACGGTATCAAAGAAGTACAAAACAGAATATCGAACCACCACCAGGCATGCGGAAGAGCCGGAAAAGATGGAGACACACAAGTCTATGGACCCCAGTGCACTATCAGAGAGAGCTGCAAACGGCAACGTGGTGGTTAAGTCCTTGGGGACAGCACAGACAAATCTAGTGGGGGCTTCATTCACATTCCCCAAGGTGGTCATAAACACTACACTGAGAGAGACACACTGTAAAATCAATTGTGTGATTCCTCTGCCTTTCCTCACACAAAATTACTGCCAAGTCCATTTAGGATTCATCCTTGTGGACCAGGTCAAGTCACTAGGCTTTTAGTACATCCTGTGTGCCCAAAAGTAGTGTGTGTGCTATGCAAGAGATATTAAGCATAGGTCCCTATTCTTAAAGATGCTGTAACCTAAAAGGAAAATGAATTTCGCATAGATAAAAATATCTAGAGAACTGCCCTGTATGTTCAAGCATTAGATGCATATTCAAACCTTGATGTTTATGAATTCAGAGAAGAAAAACAAAATTCTTCCTGGAAAGAAGAAAAACTGCACAGAGAATATGGTCAGGAAGACACGGGTCTTCAGCCAGGCCCTGAAGAATAGATACCATCTGAATCAGAAAAAAATCAGAAAGAATATATTCCATATAGGAAAATGGCACACAATTGGTACTAAACCAACATATTTCCAATGAACAATAAAAACAGTAAAAAGAAGAAAACTAGAGAGGGGAAAGGATAATAATGGACAGTCATGAGTATTAATCTTGAAAATGAAAAGTAGAAATCAATCATTTTTTCATAGAAAAATGCATCAACAAATATTAGCTAGATACCATTTAGGTGCCGGGATACTTGTTCTGGAGCCCCAAATACCCAACTATTGGCTCCTGAACAATGGGGAGCCCCTAAAGGCTGAGCAATGGACTCTATCTACTCATCAGAATTGATGGAAACCCACACTTTTCACACCGCCCTAAATGGGAAGCTGTTATGAAGAGAAACAGCCCAGATTTTTCTAGACCTCGTCTGCTCATAACTGAAAAAAGTAATAACCAACCTGGGAGTAATGAGGCTGCCGCTTGGGCTAAGATATCTCTTTTCCAACATTTCGCATGCAGTGAAATTGAGTCCACTTTGTGTCCCCCTCACAACGTCTAGTGGGCCTTGAACACAGCGTGTGCTGTATTTGTTTGTGAATTCTACTCATTATGTAAAAAGGCCCAAGCACGGTCCAAGCTAGGGTTGGTCAGTTGTCCAAGGTGCCAGAGAATCATAACTTAAGGCTAAGTCCATGACATGTCTTCTCTGGGACGTGGTGGCAGATTTTTCACGATGTTTGATGAAATCAAGGGCGGGGTACTGGTATTTAACACAGGAAGCAGCACTGGCTTTAAGTTAATGTTTCATATCCAATAAAGAAGGCTAAATATCTATCGTTTTGATAGATTGCTATAAATGAAACATTAGTGGGGCTCTTAAATACCTTGTTTCAGATCTTCATTATCCGAAATTAATCTTGAGCAGAATATCACACCCAGTGTGGACTCCATTAAGTAGCCAGTTAGATAACACAGGCTATGCTTTATCTAATAAGGACGGAATCAGGAACGAATCTAACAGCACAATTTTACCACCCCTGCAGCCCAAGAGCATTGCAAGCCAGAGTGGTAGAGAAAGTTTTCCAGAAATTCTCAAATACAGTCATCATGCCCCTACAGGAGGACAGCTTCACAGTCTCTTCTCAAAAGCAGTCTGGTGACCATGCTTAGTGTTCACTGTGGCATTACCACAGGGTGGAGACTGGCGAGGTCTTACATCTCCACCCTGGGCCCACCTGGGAATTGGGTGAGCTTTGCTGCCTCCACACCCCTTCAAGGACTTCCACAGAACCATTAGTTTTGGTGAAAGTTTATCTGGAATTGTCTTCTGCCAACTTCTCTCATTATGCAGGACACCAAAAGCTCAAAATAGCATAAATTCAGAAGACAGGGAAGTAGAGGAGCACAAAGCTCACATACAACCCATCAGCTGAGCTAAAAGCAAGTTGAGGAAAACAAATTCTCATCTCTAAGAATGCAGAGAATGCAAATCTCCAATAATCTCCAGGAATCCACACAGTTGCATGCCACATGCATGTTACAGAGGCTCCTGTGTGTCCACGCCTCACACCCACAAGCAGCGACTGACGTGAACTTTACCATTACAGAAGGCGCATGGGGAATTTGGCTAGAGAAGACTGTGATCCTTTAACCTCCACATTCAGCACAGCAAGTAAAGACTACCCGAAGACCCTACAAAACCTATTTGCTACAATATGGATGATTTTAGAATCATCCTAGCTCGAAATTCCTCCAGCAGGCAAGTTTCTCCAAAATGAAACAAGTATTTCACTCCAGTATACCATTATCATGCATTTCTATATCTAAATATGTTTCTTCCTTTGAGACTTTTGACCCACTTGAATTTCAGCATTATCTACCTTTCTTTTCTTTCTTTTTTTTTTAGACAGAGTCTGGCTCTGTCTCCCAGGCTGGAGTGCAGTGGCGCAATCTTGGCTCACTGAAAGCTCCGCCTCCCGGGTTCACGCCATTCTCCTGCCTCAGCCTCCCAAGTAGCTGGGACTACAGGTGCCCACCACTACGCCCAGCTAATTTTTTGTATTTTTAGTAGAGACGGGGTTCCACCGTGTTAGCCAGGATGGTCTCGATCTCCTGACCTTGTAATCCGCCCGCCTCAGCCTCCCAAAGTGCTGGGATTACAGGCGTGAGCCGTCGCGTCTGGCCAGCATTATCTACCTTTCTTAACCAGCTAACCATTCACAGTAATCATGGTTAATGTGTACACACCAGGTACTCTTTTACATGCTTTGCTTTGTATATACTAATTCAATCATCCTAACAACACTGTAAGATAACTACTGTTACTATCCCTATTTTATAGGTGAGAAAACAAGCTCAGGGAGGCAATTAGCGCTCTTACCTGCAGTCACATGGTCATTAAGTGGAAGATCTGGGATCTGAACTGAGCCATCTGGCTCCACCACTCCTGCTTTTAATCCCAACACTATAATGGATTGGTTTCACTTGTTCACTCCAGAGTTTAATAATATGAACCCAGACACATAATCTAGAGTGTAATGGTAAGAAAAATCAAGTGTCCTTGGCCACATTTCTCTCCCATTCCTTCCACCTCATTCCCTATTTTCAGCATTCAGCAATTAGGTATTTCTTCTGCCCTGCTGAAATATGTTTTTGACATAAAAATGGCCATAAGATATTCCAGCAAATACAGAAGTGACCCAAACCAGGCAATGTATTATTTATTTTGACCATGAGGGCATATCCTTAAGCTTGACATCTTGACTGGTTTGGGGCATTTCGCTTGATTGAAAGAAATGGAGAAGATGAACATTTATTGAGCACTTGCTTACCATGTCCCAAGTAATGTGCCTGGTGCTCTCACCTAGCTTGCTCTGTTTAATATCAAAAGCAAACCCACCCAAGGTAACTAATGAAATCCCATTTTTAGAGACAAAGAAACAGACTCAAAAAGGTTAATACTTACTGATCATGGTCAAGGAGACGCACTTTGGAGGGATGGCACGTGGATTCAAGCCAAAACCTCATCTAAAGCTGAGGCTATTTCTACAACAGCGTGCTAGGTACTAGATAACCTATCCTATAAAACCAGAAACCATTCTCAGACCTTTTTTTTTTTTTTTTTTTTTTTTTGCCTCTGAGCAGTAAGTCTTTATAGATTTACTGGTTGTTAAATGCTACTGACTCTAGCTAATTCCCAAATTAACTAGATTCCTTTTGGAGCTTGTAAAATGTGCTACACATTCAACTTCCGAATTTAGCATGCAAGATGATGACCACAGCAGTAAGAATGGTGCAACTTTCTTGTTAGAACAATGGATGCCTAAAAGCCTCCTTTTAATTTCTACCTTCTTTTACGAGGACTATGTGATCGAGGACACACCTAGGATACTGCATATTAATTTCAACACAGCTAATACCCAAAATGTCCCACCAATTTACTCTTCACTGACAATGTTAAAAGAAAATGATTTATGCAGATCAATCATCTCGCTCATCAAGTCCTACCCTGACAGCCAGCCTTCATCATTGCTATTTAAAAGGCACTGCTGACAGAAAAGACCGACTCTTTGATTAAGGGCCCTGTCTGGCTAACCTTTTATTTGAAGAATGATTGCCGCTGAGTGACAAATACTTTTCCATTCATTTCAAGGCAAAGATATTGACATTCAAATTCTTGATGGCTACACTAAGCAGATGCCACTGTTGGCAAGAGGCATGAGAGCAACAGCAGGTACTCCACGGCTCTGGGGGCAAGGGAAAAAGAATAAAACTAAAACACATGCACGCCGGCGCTGGCTAAAGGTTCTCAACAAGTAAAAGTTGCGGGTCTCTCAGCCAGATCCTTTCTTCAACAGTCAGCAAAAGGCATCTGCTTGCAGTTTCGCCCCAGTCTCCTTCTCACAAGTGCCTGGCTTTATGTTGACACTATTTGGAACTGCATGGGCAGCGAGGACTAGAAGTCAAAAGGAGCTCAGAACATGCCGTTCCTAACCCAAGGGAAAAACATCTCTGTCCGGAATCGCAGCATCCGGGCCAACCTCGGGTTGAAAGTACTGGCCTCCTTTCCGCTTCACGGGACCTTAAGTGATTAAATATAAAGTGGAAGAAGCTGGTGAAAACTCGCCCATAAAAAACAAAACAGAAATATTCCATCCCATCTGCTAAAAAGAAAGAAGAAAAAATAATAGTAAAAGGAAGAGGTAAGATTGACAACTAGAGTTAGCAAAAAAGACAAACCGAGCTTACTTTTAAAAGGTGGTTTTTTAAATTCATTTCAGGTGAATTTAGACCTTGGTCCACATCACACACACACACACACACACACACACACACACCCCATTGCATTCATATCCTCACAGCAGGATTATTCTGCTTGTTTTTATTTCTTAAATGCAAAATATTACCTTAAAGGAAAGTGAGAAAATTATGGATTAAGGAAGGCTATTTGTGACAAAGGCCATCACAAAGCCTCAAGATTAATCATTTCCAGGAACAAAATGAAAATGCCTCAGTGGGTCATCAACAATTCCTTTTAAATCTTGCTGAGATGCGATGTTGGGTCTTACGTGCTTCACAAAGGAAAGGGTATCCAAAAAGCTGTAGTTGTGATCCTCAAACACATTCCCCACAGAGGGAGAGGCAGGAGATAGCCAAGACACAGCCAGAACCTTCTCCCCATCACCCCAGGGCCAAACAGGTGACCAGGGCTTCAGAGAGACAGAAAACCTGCGTGTGAATGCAATCTCTACTACTCATCAGCTGGGGGATTTGAAACAAGTTACTTTACCACCTCAATCCTCTGTGAGCTCATCTGCAAAATGGGAGTGGTGAGATTGACTTCGCAGAATTAGTCATGAATCTTAAAGAACAGAAATTAAATAAACCAACTTTCCCTTACCTAAACCTCTTTTTTTCCTCCTTTCTTCTCCTCTTCTCCTCTTTGCTCACTAGTTTGCATGTGAATCGAATCATCCATGAGGGGTATCAGCAAAAAGATTTACAGTTATAGCCCTGCTTCCCTCACTGTGTTACAATGAGAACAAATAAGATAATGTTCACATTAAAGCACTTTATAAATCTTAAATCAATACAGAAATGTTTGCTGTTGTTATTGTTGTTCTCCACAAACGGTATACTCTAACTCATTTTGATCTTTTTCCTTATCTATTTCTCCCATCTATATTTCTCATGGTGAATAATAAATCAATAACCAATTAATTAATCAATAATCATAATATCATCTCCATTCCTGAGAACTACTAGTGGTTGTTTCTGCAGCTGTCTAAAAGGAGTGCCTGGGAGAAATGATGTTTCTTCTATAACAAAAATGTATTGGAGGTTATTATGAGCCAGGCATTGAGACAAGGAGGTGAATGAAAAATGCAAAATTCAGTCAAGTGGAGCAAACAGACAAATAAAGAAAAGATTTCAATATTGCTGCACCATATAAGTTAAATACAAAGGCCAATGAGGAGGTCAGTGAGGAAAGGTATGACTACCTGGGGCAATCAGAAAAGATTCTGCCACAGTGATATCAAGGCAAGTCCTCAAAGGGTGGAAAAGAAAGAGTGGGTCACTTTGGAGAAGGAGGATGCCAGGTGCAAAGACATGGAGGCTCGAGACAGATCACCATGCTCTGGCAGGAACAAGGGGGAAGTTCCAATCATACTAAAGAGTTAAGACTTATTCCTTTAGGTAATGGCAAGTTTGAGCTTGAAATTGCTATCGTATAGCCTGTGGTTTAAAACACGCCCCTGATGAAAGGCTGGACACAACAACCTTTGCTGGGTACCCACTCTGTGCTAGCAACTGGAGACACAGAGATGAGCAAGACTATCCTGACACACTCCCAGGAGGGGGAGCCGGGGAGACTCGCCTGCTCTCAAGCAACCTCTGAGCAGCTGCCCAATGAGGGGCAATGAGACCCCACTGGTCCCAGCACCTGTGCCTTCTTGTTTGGCCTCAGAACCTGCGTGTCATCCCCAGTCTGTTGGAGTGGGTTCCTGCTTTTTTGCTTGACCCTGCTCTTGCATTTCTATGGACTCTGATGTCAACTATGGATAGCTCACTTTCACCTTCAGAGCCATGTCCTCCACCTATTGCTATCCTTCTTTGACCTGCAGTGATCCTGTGGTCTCCCTGATGGCTCCTGAAAGCATCTCTATCAGCGGGGAGATCTCTGTTCCAGGTCTCTATCCCTTAATCTTGATACTGTACGCAAAGTATGAGTGTAAACATGTGTTCACCAAATCCTGTTTCACTCTCCTTCTCCTGGGCACACAGATGGTAACATTTGACATTCTCCCTTACAGTTAGTTTGAGTTCTAGTCAATATAGCAAAAAAGCGACGTGAGTAACTCCCAGGCCTGCTGTTAAAAACATCACAAAACAGATCTCCCATACTAGCTACTATAGCCATGACAATAAACGCAGTAACTTAAAAAAACAGAAATGTATTATTTCACTTTTATGGGTACAAGAAATCTAAAATCTAGTGTCAGTAGGGTCACATCCCCTCCAAAGGCCCTAGGGGAGAATCTCTCCCTGCCTCTTCCAGTTCCTGGTGGCTCCTGCTTCACCATCTTGCCGCAGCATCACTCCAGTCTCTTCCTATCTTCACATGGCCTTCTTCCCTCTGGGTGTCTCTGTGTCTAGGTCTCCTTCTCCTTTGTCTTACAAAGTCACCCGTTTTTGGATCTAGGGCCCACTCTAAACCCAGTATGATTTCATCTCGAGATCCTTAAGTAACTGTATCTGCAAAGAATCTATTTCCAAATCAGGTCACACTCTTAGGTTTCAGGTGGACATAAATTTGTGGGGGTAGGGGTTCACTATTCAATTCACTCCCCCTCCCATGCAACCTTGGAGGTCTCATGATTCAGATGGTACAGCCACAAGATGCCACAGCCTTCATCCAGCCAGATCCCTGAGTGACTACAAGAAGCCAGGCTCCCTCAACACCAACCCTCACTAGGCCTATAAGGTGAGCAAGAAACGAAGCCTTGTGGTGTTAAGCCACTGAGATTTCAGGGTTAATTTGTTACAACAGCAGAGCCTAGCCTGGCTTGGCTACCACACCAAGCATGATGCCCTAGCTCTGCAATTCCAATACTGTTTATGGGCCCAGGGCTAGCATGCAGTGTTTTTATTTGGCTTCAATTTCTGCTCAAAAGCCCTTTTAGGTTGCTCTTGCTGAATGTCCCAGGAATTTCTCCCAGAGCTTTGCTTGGCTTGGACATGATTTTGGGAGGTTTCTTGTTTTTCCTGGGTAGTGTAATTAGGCTTTTGCTGATAATATCACTGTTTTCTCTACTGGTCCCAGAGGAGAATGTGGTGGCCAATGGTAGTTATTTCTTGCTTTTATTGGGGTGGGAGAGAGGGGCAAAAGGGGTCAAATATGAATGTTTTCTAGCTGAATTCATCCAAAACTGAAATGAGAAAAACAGTAGCTAGTGTCCCTTTCTTACAGAAGTGAAAAGCGCACAAGATTTTAGAGTCAGTCATGCTGACTTGGGTAAAAATTTCTCAGCTCTGCAAACTTAATAGCTATGATACTTTAAAACATTATTTATCACAGAACCCTAGCTCTCCTACCTTTACCAAAAAAAGGCTTAATACCACCTATTCCAGAGGCTGGCTAGGAGGAGGAAATGATACCAGACATACATTTAGCTGGGTGCTCTGATCATAGTCATTCCCAGATAAATGTGAACTTCCCTTATTCCCACAGATAGACCAACTTATTCCTACTTGGATCCCTTCCCTTCTGGCTCAAGGTAATAGCTAAGTTCTTGTGAAACCATGACCTTCAACACTGGTCTCAACCATCTCCAAGGCAGAAAGTATCTTCTGCCTTTTCTCTAGTTCATCCTTTTAGATGCTGCTAGTCTATTCCTTGGAAATAGTGACAAGATAGTGAATAATCTGACTAATCAGGTGAGTGTTGCTCTTAAATATTTCATGAGAGTTTATTTTGATTTTCCAATTTGGTTGAAAGTTCTCTAAAGGTAAGGGTTATGTCTGATCCTAATTCTATAAACCCCAGAGCTGGCAGCACCTTGCCAAGTTGACCACAGGTGCCTCCCCCATCCTCATTGATTGACTACAGAGAAAGCAGAGGATGAAAAGTTTCCATGATTAAGACAGGATCTGGCCTTCAATAACACGGATGTTCACAATTAACGGGCAAGTATCAGTTAGCTAGGAATACTCACAGAGCAGAGGGAAGGTGGCAGAAGTTGAAATACTTAAGAAATAGGCGGACAAGGCCAGGCATGGTTGCGCTTGTCTGTAATCCCAGCATTTTAGGAGGATGAAGTGGGCCGATCACTTGAGGCCAGGAGTTCAAGATCATCTTGGCCAACATGGTGGAACCCCATCTCTACTAAAAATACAAAATTAGCCAGGCATGGTGGCGTGCACCTGTAGTCCCACCTACTTGGGAGGCTGAGATGGGAGAATCACCAGAACCCGGGAGGCAGAGGTTGCAGTGAGCCGAGATCACACCACTGCACTCCAGCCTAGATGACAGAGACCCTCTCTGAAAGAAAGAAAGAAAGAAAGAAAGAAAGAAAGAAAGAAAGAAAGAAAGAAAGAAAGAAAGAAAGAAAGAAAGAAAGGGAGAGAAAGAAAGAGATGGACAAGAGGGAAGATTCAACTCTACTCTGGGGCTAGGGTGGATCTCCTCAGAAATAAA